TTATTCTTTAGTTTATTTACAAGATTTATTTATATATGTGTTGGGGGTAATAAGGGTGTCACAAAAACTATCTTAGATTAAGTAAATGAGATTAGGGACACCTTATTAAGTAAATATACATAGATATAACATAAAATAAACAAACATAATAATATATAAAATTTAAAAAGATAAAGGTCTTCACTCCCTTAGTTTAATAGAGAAGTAGAATTGCTCCTTAAACTACATATATTTTTTTTCTTACTCTCCTTCTCTAATTCTTTCCATCTCCTTTCTCAATATCTCCTTGTACTCTTTCTTATTTTCTTTTTCTCTACTCAATCTCCTTTCTCCCCCATGGTCCCCCCTTGGCCTATTTATAGGCAATTTTTTTTTTAATCCTAACCATCTAGTTAGGATTCCTTTAAGGCATCATTTGTTAGAGATAAACATTATCTCTCCTTATACACCTACAACAGATAAGGGTTGTAGGTTTTTTTTATATAGAAAGAATCCCATTAATAATTTAAAATATAATAATCTTTATAAATATTTTGGTTTTCAACAAATTTTTATAATACAATAGAATTTTATATATCTCCATTTAAAAAATTATAGCATTTTAAAAAATAAGACATTGTATTTCTATTTAATAAAGAAATGAGATAATAAAATTGAGAATATTATAATATGGTACGAAAAATTCAGAATCTTACAATTCTCTCCCATTTATAGAAATTTCATCCTCAAAATTTTTATTGCTTAAAATAAATGAGGATAACTTTTCCTAATCTTCTCTTTCAATTCCCACGTAGCATCTCCATTGTCATTATTCCAAATGACCTTCAGTGAAATCTATTTGCCCCTCAATTGCTTGATTCTCCTGTCTGCGATCTGTACAGGCATGGTTTCAAATGTAAGATTATCTTTTAATTGTACTGTATTAGACATTATTACATGAAAAGGATAAGAAATATATTTTTCTTAATTAAGGACCTATAACATCGAGGAGTGAGTTTCTTTGATTTCATTATCCTACCAATTTTAGTTGTTGGTGTAACTTTCAAAAATACATAATCACCTTCCTAAAACTCAAGAGGTCGTCTTTTTTTATCAGCATAACTCTTCTGTCATCTTTGAGTCATTCTTAATTTTTTCTGAATCATTTTGATTTTCTCTGTGGTTTGTTCATCATTTCAGGACCCAAGATTAAATTTTCTCCAATTCCAAACCAACACAAAGGAGTTATGCATTTTCTTTCATATAGAGATTCATAGGGTGCCATACCTATGCTAGAAAGCAAACTGTTGTTATAAGTGAATTCAATCAGAGGCAAATATTGATCCCAACTACTAGAATCCTCCAGCACACTAGCTTTTAATAAGTCTTCTAAGAAGTGTATGGTCATCTCTGATTTCCCATCTATTTGAGGATGATATGTTGAGTTAAGGCGGAGCTTAGTTCCCAAAGCTTGATGTAAACTTCCAAAATCTAAAAGTAAACCTAGGATCCCTATTAGATATTATACAAGATGGAATACCGTGCAGTCTTACAATTTCCCTTATATATAATTCAATTAATTTTTCCAGTGACTACCTAATGGTGATGGGCAAGAAGTGAGCAGATTTTGTAAGTCTATCCACGATAACCCTTATGGAATCAAATTTATGCATTGTTCGTGGTAAACCAACTACAAAATTCATTGTTATACTGTCCCATTTTCATTTAGGTATATCTAAGGATTGTAGCCTACTAGCTTTTGGTGTTCTATCTTGATCTTCTAACAAATCAAACATGTAGCTACGTATTTTGCTACTTACTTTTTCATTTTAGGCCACCAAAACATTTTCTTAATATCCTAATACATTTTTGTCGCACCAGGGTGTATGTTCAACTTGCTCTTTTGTGCCTTTCCTAAGATTATTTTCTTACTTTTTAAATCATTAGGCACACATATCCTATCATTAAATCTCAAAACTCCCTTTTTATCTAGGTTAAACTTTTCATCCTTTTTTTATCCCAACAATCTCTTTTTCTTCTAAATAAATTTATCAACTACATATTTGAGCCTCACATATTTGTCTATGTAAGTCATTAGTAATCTGAACTGTATGTAATTATATTCTATCATGACTTACGGTAGCTAACAAATTCATATCTCTAAATTTTTCTATCAAGTTCATCTCATGAATCATTAATGAAGAGATATATAGGGATTTTCTACTCAATGCATCAACCACAACATTGGTTTTTCCTGAATGATAATGCAATTCAAAATTATAATCTTTTAAAAATTTCATCCACCTTCTCTATCTTATATTTAATTACTCTTGATCAAACAAATATTTAAAACTCCTATGATCACTAAAAACATCAAACTTACCACCAAACACATAATGTCTCCATATTTTAAGTGCAAAAACAATGACAACTAGTTCTAGATCATGGGTAGGGTAATTCTTTTCATGAGCTCTCAATTGTCTCAAAGCATATGCTACTACCCTTCTATCTTGCATAAGAACACACCCTAATCCCATTTTTGAGGCATCACAAAATATGACAAATTGTCTATTAGGATTGGGTAAGGCTAAGACTGGTGCAATGGTTAACCTTTTCTTGAGTTCCCGGAAACTATTCTCACATTTTTCTGTCCACTCAAAGGGTTGTTCCTTCTTGGTAGGGATGGCAAATATACCCGTACCCGCAGGTAATACCCGAACCCGTCCCGACTTTGACGGGGAATATCCGGTTGACCGGGTACGGGTATGGGTACGGGTAAAACCCGATATATTAAATCGGGTACGGGTACGGGTATGTACTTACCCGCCCCGTACCCGTACC